GGCACAATTCTCTCCTTCACATACTCTGCATTCCAGCAAACTGCCCTCCTTGTAGAGATCCCTGTCTTCATTGTCTTCTACCTCTGTGCCTTTGCCCAGGCCATACTCCATGCCTGGTGTGCCCTCCCTCCTCACTTCCCCCTGCTAGACTTGAGCTCTCCTTGAGGCCCAGCTCCCTCAATAAGGAACACTTCCCTCCAAATTGCTTTGGTTTTGCTTTGTCTATATCTTGATTGATCTCTCTGGGTGTGTTATTACCCTCCAGAGAACATAAGCTCTTTGAGGACAGGGACTCACTCCCATTTTTGTCTGTCTCTCCAGAGACTAGCACAGTGCTTGGCACACAGCTGGTGCTTAATAAATGGTTGTTGAATTGGACCCAGGTCAGGGAATCCTAGATCTCAAGTTGGAATGGACCTCAGAGACCATCATGAGGTAACTGGGGCTAAAGAGAGGAAGGTATGAACAGATCATGGATTTCAAACTAGAAGGTACTCTTGGAGGCACTGTACTCCAATGCCTTCATTTTATGAAGGAGTATACTGAGGCCCAGAGATGGGAAGAGAAGCACCCAAGGGCCCAGAGGGAGTAAGAGGCAGAGGAGGGATTCAAACTCTGCCTCTTGTCCCAAAACTAAGATTCCTCTTCTTCTTCTTTCATTCCCATTAACGTCTCTAAACCTCAGTTTCTCCATCTACAAAAGGGGAGAAATGGGGAGTATTTTTAAAAGATTGTTGGGATGGCCAGTATCAGCACCTCCTCCAGCCCCAAGGCTCCTCCTTCCTCTTCTTGGGCAGCTAGGGTGACCTCTGTCACCCCAGTGGGATCAGTAGGCTGGGGCTGCAGCTGGGCTGGGGACCTGCTTCGTGTTCTGGTTTCTCTTTTGGGTAACTGAGCTGACTCTTGGCACATTCTTATTTGAGATTTCTGATGACCCTTTATTTATAGCCTTTGTTGAGTGCCATTTGTGGGCTGAGCACTGGCCAGGCTCTGAGCAGAACCTGGGCCATTTATAAAGGCAGCCTCCACCTGGAAGGAGCTGCCCTTCCTCGGAGAGAAAGACAGTCACCTACCAGCAAGACTAAATCATAGAGACTCCCCTCCCTCCCAAGTCCCGGGGCTAACCTGTGCTCCCCTCCACCAGCTAGACTTTTTCAACAATTTCCTTTTGAAATTGCAGACTTCTGATATGTTTCCCCTCTCTCCCACTCTGAATTCAATGCAATTCAACACACTTATTAAATACCAACAATGTGGCAGTGCACTAGCCGTCATGATATAGAGATTGGAAAAAAAAAAACAGTTCCTGTCCTCAGTGAGCTTACATTCTACTGAGGGCAACAATTTGTGACAGATAAATATAAAATAACCTGGAGTGTGAAGGGAGAGAATATTAATAACTTGGGGGACTCAGATAATAACTTGGAGAAACCCCTTCATGTAGGAGAAGGAGACTGAGCTGTGCCTTTCCTTGTTCTTAGAATGTACAATTATCAGAGGCAGCTGTGTGGCACAGTGGATAGAGTGCCGGGCCTGAAGTCAAGATGTGAATTCAAATCCAGCTTCAGACACATCTGCCTCAGTTTCCTCAACTATAAAATGGGCACCTACCTCCCAGGGTTTTCATGAGGTTCAAATGAGATTATATTTGTAAAGTTCTCAACACAGTATCTGGCACATAGTAGGCACTTAGATCCTGTTTCCTCCTTTTCTTTAAGCCCATCTTTTCCAAGCAGCAGCTGCCTCTAAGGAAGGAAATCATCACAAATTTTCTTTATAATCAGCTACTTAACCCTTGTGTGACCTTGGTCAAGTCCGTTTCCCAATCTGGGTCCCATAGAAAAGACCTTAGTGGTCCCATTCCCTCATTCTGCAGGGGAGGAAACTGAGACCCAGAAGCTTAAAGTACTCATTCAAGGTCACCAAGGTAATGAGAAGCCAAGTCAGAATTTGAACCTGAGACCTCTGATCCCAAATCCTGAGCTATTTTCACTGTACCACCTGACCTCAGTTTCCTCATGTGTAAATTGAGGAGATTGGACTACGTAATATCCAAGGTCCCATCCAGTTTTAGACTCTGGAAATTTCTAGAACTTTGCATGAAGTCTGTTTTTAATGTTGATGGTTAGCCTTGGACTGAGAACTAGGTGGGTCTTTGGCACTTACCTCTTGAACTCAGGAAGGCGGTGAAAGGACCCTTGAATTTCAAGCGAGTTGGGCTGCGTTTGAATTCCCACTTTATCACCTATGGCATGACCTTGGATGAGTCCCTTTCCATCTCTGTGCCACAGTTCCCTCCCCCTATGTAAAAAGCAGATGCTGGACAGGACAGGCCCTGAAGCTTCCAACCCGAGGCTCAGCTGGAAGGAGCTCACCAAGGTCACCCAGGGAGGGAAAATTGGAACCAATGCCCTGGGGCAGCCATGGCAGGATCAGGCACCTGGTCCCATCTCCTAAAATGCCCAGTGACCTTTTAAATCTGGGCAGAGCCTTGGAAAGCTGTCCTGGGCCACAGTGTGTCTACATGGGAAAAGCCAGCAGCTAAGCAGAAGCGGAGCCCAGCCCTCTGACGTGGGTCCGTGCTGTGCTGTGTGCGTGAGGCAGCCAGCTGGCTGGGCTGATTCCTTCTCAGACGGTGCAGCATCTACCAGAGAGACAGTCAGAGGGAGAAATGCTTGCACAGAATGGTATTAATCCCAGGGTCAGGACGACAGCCCAGATGTCTTCAGAGACAGCAGGCTGCTCTATGTTAAGGTTAATTAACCCACTCAGAGGAAAACTGAATGAGGCATCTAAAGCTAGCAATTAGAATAATTCCCAGTATAGCACCTTATACACTACCCCCCCCCAAAAAAAAACAATCACAGGCCGTGACTCAGCACATCTGTGCAGCTGAATGTGGGACTGGGAGTCAGGAAGACAGAGTTCAACTCCAACCTCAGCCATTTCCTACTTGTGTGACCCTGGGCAAGTCATTTCACTACTATCTGCCTCACTTTCCTCATCTGTAAAATGGGGATCATCCCAGCTTGTCCTTCCCATGGTTGTTTGAGGATCAAATGAGATAGTTTATGGAAAGGGTTTTGCAGACTTGAAAGTAATATAGAAATGCTCACTTGCTCTCTCTTCTCAGACTCCCTTTGGAGAACCAGAAAGGCCGGTTCAAGGCAGCTCCATCTTGGCTGGCCTTGTACCTCCCCTGGCTTCCAACCTGCTTTCACACCCAACGTAATCTCATGGAGCTCTACGTAACACAGCCGCCCCCCAGCCCCAGGATTCTTATTCTCCTCATTGGACTTGGAAGGAATCCAGAGCATGGCTGGGGTGGGGGGGATGCTGCCAAGCTCAGTGTTCCTCAGGGCCTGTCAGTGAGCAGAAGATTGGAATCTGAGTCCCAGGGGAGCCCAAGTTAGATCAGAGCACTTGCTTAATTCCCGGGGTCTGCTGAATGCCTCCTTCATGTTGGCTCCAGCATATTGTCTGTCTGCTGGGATCAGAACTTTGCTATGAGAAACCTGGGAGTCACTGAACAACACCTCTTCTCCACTCTGGGGGGTTGCTCAGTGGCCTTGGGCCAAAAGGAATGAAGAGTCTGGCTAAGACCTGAGGCCAGTTCACCTCATTTCCGGCCTGTCCCATGGCCTCTCCACTGTGTCACACAGACGGCTGCATTTAGTAAGCCCCTACAATGTTCCAGGTCCATCAGTCAGAAGAGCCTACTATGTGCTGGGTGCTGATTAGACTCTAGGAATCCGAGATAGCCATGAAATCAGTTATTGCCCTCAGAGACTTTCCTTTCTTCAGGTTCTAGATCCCTTTAGCGTTGGGGGTGACCAACGAGCAATCTTACCTTTCACTTTTCAGCTGAAAATTCATGGAGTAGCTACAATGGTTATTTCAGCAATCTGGCACCTGCTGTGGTCTGGCGTGTGCCGGAGGGACAGAAAAAGAGCAGTCCCTGCCCTCCTAGCTCTTACATTCTCCTGGAGAGGACAGTTGGCCCTGAGAAGGAAATGCCAAAAAGATTTGATCTCTCCATCTCATTCAGGCTAGAAATGAGGAAGCCACTCATGGTCTTGATCACACTGCTGATTAGTGTGGAAGCTTTGACCGGCTGTGGCTCCAGCTTGGCCCAGTCATCTCCTTCCCTGGCAGCTTGGCCCCCTGCTCCCTGGGGCTCACCAGATCGGGGCCCATCTCAGTGCAGACACCTGCTTGACTTTTTTTGTTTTCAGTTGTTACGTCATTTCAGTCATGCCCAACTCATGACCCCATCTGGGGTTTTCTTAGAAGAGATATTGGACATTTCCTTTTCTAGCTATTTTATAGATGAGGAAATTGAGGCAAGCAGGGTTAAAGGATTTGCCCAAGGTTACACAGTTAGCAAGTGTCTGAGGCTGGATTTGAACTCAGGTCTTCCTGACTCCAGGCCCAGCACTCCATCTATTTCCCTACTTAGCTGCCCCCTGCTTGTCTGTAGCCCATTAGAGCTCAGAAGTTCCTAGCTCACTGGACCCACCAGCTTTAGCCTTGTCCCCAGCAGGGATTACTATACAGGTGTGCACCACCATGCTGGGCCTGCAGAATATACCCAGGGCATCACAAAATGGTTCCTGCACTGTGTTGTAAGGGATCAGTTAGTCAGTAAGCATTTATTTACTGAGTATGGCTCTGGCCTCTCAGCAATAGGGCTGGGCTGCAATTCCTAATACACCCAAGTCCTTAACAGTGTCTCCACAAGCTTCTACACTGTAACAGTGTCTCCACAAG